AAAGTATTCTACAGTATATCAACAGTAATGTGATAAGGAAACACTATCATGATCTCTGTCATGTACACCGCTATATTGCTCTCACCTGTGCATGGAATTTACTATGGATCTCAAGCGAGGCAGCATTCGCTGAAGGCGGTGGGTGATCAGGAGTGGGAGGCTGATCGTATTCTGTTGGACTGCTTGGGGTTATAGCTTTCATTTCCACATACGTACTGACAACCTAGTAGAAGGGAGATTATGTATTCGTAATCTAATACACTCCACTCAAACCAATTTGTAGTGACATCATTCGTTCACTTTGGAAATTAAATCTAACGGTTAAACTGTATTTCCATGGAGAACCCTCCCTCCATGTCTACCCTCCTCACTTTGATTACAGAACACGTCCATCTCTGTAATTCAACCGATGCACTGATCCAATTAAGTCAAACATACCCCATACTTTGATGGATAAGCTTTTCAGATTTCTGTCCCTTCCATGGCGACCACAGCTTACTTTTACCATAGTGATCTATTCTACGCTAGTCAAGTTATCATTCAAACTATCCATCTAATAAAAACACATCCATCCATACTACATAACATATTCAACAGAAATTGATTCATCTTCTTTATCTCAATCAATCCGTTGCTACCATCCTCTAACTGTAACTAGGCAACATCTTGACTTCCTGCTCATCACCATCTTTGCGAAATTTTTCATTTTAATATCTTTGCAATCACTACGACAACTAAAACTTTTAATCAATCTGGTGACTCATACAGAATCTTCTCAAACAACATACTAAACATGCATAGCTCAGAAACGAGACAAGGCTTTCTGAACTCCACCACCAAAGACACCAAAAAACATCAAGAATATTGAAAGATGTTATTATAGAAACAGTTAGTAAATATGGTGATATGAACTCTTTGTTCACCTGGGAAAAATATGAGTGAAAAGAATGTAATTTTACACAATTAGTGGAGTCCAAACCTACATTGATAGAAACACACATGATTATTTACCCATGATGCATTGCAACATTTTCTGACATGTGTACAAACATATGATT